TACGCTGTGACCCGCCGCTCGAAAATTCTAGCAAACATTAAAAGGGGCTAGCATCAGTCCTGTTTATGTTTCCCTAGCACAAATTAGGAGCGTGAGCGCAATGCGTCTGCTGGGCTAAGAGCACGCTCGTTGTAGTGTCGGGCGGTGCAACGGCACGTATGGTTCGGCGCGGGAAGCAGGAGGAATGTTATTTTCACCTTTGCATTCTACATTTCATAATAAAGTGGTGGAGTTGAGACGATGGCTAGCCTTACCGGTTCACACAGGAGACCTGTGACGGCTGGCGACGGCGCAGCTCTGGGCATGCACAGGCCCTGCAAAGAGCGTCGCCTCACGCCCAGCGCTGCACCTAGTCTGGCTTAAATAATGTAGAATTCAATATAATCGATGGATAGCAAATATTACCATATTGGCCACTTTGTTCAAGGGTTGTGTATGGGCCTCCCTGATGCATGCATTTGCCACATTTAAAAGGCTCTACCATCCTTCCTCCCTTTGCCGATGCTTCACGCTCTGCAACCCGGGAATATAATTTAGAAGCAGCGCCAGAGAGTCCTCAGGCTCGGTGCACACGGCTTTATGCCGTGGCCAGTGCTGTACTGCGCGTTAAATCGCTAAAAGCTGTTCAACGATTCTTAGTCAAACCTCGTAAAGACCTGAGTTCGAGTTGGATTCGACGGATCACTGTACACCCGCCACGAAATATAGGCAAGCTGAACCCTTACGCGCCAAGCACCGTCTGTTTTGATGGTGAAACGCAACGGCTCCACCCAGCGCGCAGAGGGACAGGCAAAAACATAATTTGTCTCTACACTAAACAGGCTCCCCGTGCATTGTATAGCCAGGTTTTAACCTCTATTTCGCGGTAGTTAAGTGATCTGCCAGCACTCAACTCCGCCCTGATGCTCTCATCAGTCGCGAGTTTCTCGTCTGCATCGAGTGGACACCATGTAGCCAGCGGGCTTCTACACCTCAGCAGGTAGCGAAACTCCTGGCTTCCCTCAACTTTTGGATTATCCCTCTCTTAAAAGGCTTTTACTTCACAGCATGCTGAGGCCAAGGAAGGCTAGTGCAAGACCGACCACACCGGGCGCAACAGCGGAGGCAGAGCCTTCGAGGGCGGCCACGATCTGTCCCCATTGCTCCTCTCTGGATAGCACACGACGACAAACAAAAACAGTCTACTGTGGAAACAGAATACGAGAGAATAGAAGACGTAGGGCATGAGAAAACTCACGTGAAAGGCGCCTTTTCTCCATCGGTAAGTACATCAGGTACTGTCATGCAAATCAAAGCCGAAGCTTTTTCTTCTGAGCTTTGTCCCTGGGTTCCTGTCCCTTGGGCACTCGCCGCTGCAGGCGTCGTCTTAGTGCAGGTGACGACACGGCAGTCTGCACTAGCGTTCTTTGTGGGGTTGTACAAGGCCACGAACGACACATTCTCCTGTTTCTTGTACAATTCTTCCTGATCTTTGTTTGGTGGGGGCAATTCATCAAAGTTGCTGTAGGCGCCCTTCCACTTATCCACAACGGCATTGCAGTCGACGGCATCCGCATTGTCAATGGGGAGGTATGCGTATGTGCCGCTCTGGAACTCAGTTATATCGGAATTTATAGTACTTCTTGATTTTGTTGTGTTCTGGAGGCAGCAGGAGAATTTGCAAACACCGAAGTGATTTGCACAGGCAGTAAATATCCTTTGGACGGCAGTTTGAGATGTAGAAAACTTACTGGAATCAAGGCTTCGCACACAGGCTTCCACGCCCATTCAGGTTCTCCTTCTTCTGGAGGACTGCCTTCTTTAGGCAGCCTGTTTGTTGGATCAACTGCTTGCGCGAATTCGCTGAACCCAGCTGCTGCGCGGGCAGCATTGACCTCCGCGAGGCATTGGCCATCTTTTCCTGCATCAAAGAGAGCAAATTACCGTACGTTTGTGAAGAATGCTTTGCAATCAAAAACAATCGCACTGAAAATTTTGAATTCGCGGGAATCCAAGCTCGTTCGTGGGGTTGTGGCCTGCTGGCCACACTATCGGGGACTTCCCAGAAGATGGGTTCTTGTCACCCAGTCACCTAGGCAGAGCATCGAAGACCACTTTTTACTGGGAAACATACCCAAGGCTACAGAATAAGTTGGCTGCGTGGGTTCGGGATTGTCGATGGCTTTGGCCATGAAGAGGAACGAAGAACTGACGACTGTGAGCAGTTTCAGAGGTGCCATTGTCACCGTGTGGTTGTTTACGTATCCGAACACGAAGCGCCGATGCAACCCAAAAGGCCATCAGGATATATAAGCCCTATTCAAATCGCATTTACTACGACCTTGTTTGCTTCAGCGGCTTTGAGGCGGTCGGCGCCTGCGGTGCGCATGACGCCGTTCTGTTCATGGTAGGCAGGCCAGTGCACTGAGACTGTGCTATGCAGCCTGCTGCGACCCTAGCAGACGGCAAATAAACAAAAAATAATACATATTATTATTACAATACAAACGGCTCTATACAGGGTGAGGGGACACTGATACCGAAGCAATGAGCTCGCAGAACACGAAGACAAATATGCTTGTGTCTTGCACTCCCACTACAGGCATGGAGGCGCAGGCTCTTGCTGAAGAGGAGAGTGCCGATTTCTCATTCACAAATCAGTTTCCGGTTTCTTAAGAGTGTTATAATGGCTCGTAAATACATGGTTTCTGCTCTGATCGCTGAGTTGAGACAGAACGTCGGCCTGCAGCTGGTGTCCAACAGAACCTCGTTCGGCACCACGCTGTTCATACACTGTGCAGCGGCAGTAAAATTGTATGGAATGTACGGTTTCCAGTATTAATCAACATTATGTAGCCTATTTCCTTTAATTGTTGCCCATTCGGCAGAAGCCGGAAGCAATGCAAGGCAAACCGTGACCGGTTCCCCTCGATCACCCGAGACTGGCTGTAATACCACGGTGCGACTAGCACTCTCACGTAAATACACTAGACAGCCGCAGTTCGTACCTACACGGGCAAGATCCGCCGAACTAGTCGTTGTCACTAGTAATTCGAATGATTTCGTAGACAAATATTAGAGAAAAGTAGTTCTCTGTCTCGGATTTCAGTCAGATCCAAGCGCCCCAGCTTGGCGATCCGCCAGGCCGGTCGTAGTGCATTGGCACTACAATGCACCGTTGTAGATATCTAGTGGACAGAATGAGACTAAAATTTGTAATAATTAATTTAATTTAATTGATAAAACTTAAGTTAGTAAGCCAAATCGCAGGGTCACGGAAGTTAGCCGAGGATAGCCGACACCTCGTTAGAGGCAGAGGCATAGTTACCGCGGAAACGCGGGTCGGCCGTAGTCTGCTCCCCTCTCCTCTGTAAGGAACCGCTACTCTGTAACGAACCTTCCCCAGTGGGCACCAAGGTGCTGAGCTTTTGAAACGTAAGGTGGGAGTTTGCTGAGCGCCCAAAGAATGCAGCTCGTAGTTTAGAACCAGAAAGATGAACGCATTGAGAAGTCCTCCTCCAAGCATCTTCCCTTCTGTGTTGAGATTTCATCAGTTTCTCGTGGTTTCTGCTCTTTCAACCATGCAACCTATTCGTTCGGCTCTGCCTTGAAGGGGATGTTCCGCAGTGCTCGTAGCCGGCCTGCGAGGCACTGGTGAGTGTGTAGACCTTGAAATACGGCAGGTCAACGCACAAAACAAAGATATCTGAAATGTGGTTCTTCAATTGTTTCATTGGCGCCGCTTAGCTGCAATGTGTTGAGCGGGGGAGCATCCATGTCTGGCACAATCGGCTCGCAGGACCAATGGTCTGACCACTGGAACTGCAAGCCAACTTTTCTGTGCAGCCCATCGGGAATACTGTATTCCTTTGTTTCAACATTGTATCAAGCACTAAGGGGCAACAAGTACACTTACTTGTGTTCCCTGGCACGAATCACTTGCATGAACGTCTTCCGACCGCCGGGCTCCCAGAGCGCCTGATCGGGCGCGGTGTGCGAACAGGGCATAGGCACTTGTGATTTGCCTCTGGAGGCAGGAAGATGCTTGTTATCACGTTTAAATAGTGCGCTTCATACACAAATAGCAGAATGACTGGCGTTCTGATGATTGCTCTCCATACGACTGTGCAGTGGTGAACCTGCGCCTGCACCCGATGGCGCCTCTGCAGACCCAGAACTGCAACTACTGCCGAAGTTAATGAAGTAGAATCCATGTGACATTCGTAGACTCTGGACATATAAGAAAACCATTGTATCACCCTGGTTCCATAGGCTCGCGTAGTTGTCTGACTGTCCCAGGCCTTTCCTATGGTCTAAAGACGCTACAATCCTGTTGCCGGATCATCGATGCTCCCAGTTTCGCGACACAGGAAAGCAACTTAGAAACAGCACTACATCTCCAGCGTCAGTGGACGCAAGTTTCTCTCGTGGTCACTGCACTGCCTGGGTGGAATCGCTATAAAAGATAGAATCCCACTCCCTCTAAAGACCTGAGCCTGCGTTGAATTCAAGGGACCTTCACTCTACAGCCACCAAGAATTACAGGCAAGCAGAACGCCTCACTGCTACACCATGGCAGTTCTGACGGAGGAACCCAGCGGCTCCACCGGCAGGGCAGAGCGAAAGGCAAAAAACGTAATTTGTCTCTGTACACAAAAAGGCTCAACGAGCACTGTATAGCCAGGCTTTTACCACCATTTCGGGGTAG